AGGGAGCCCCTCGAGCGGCCCGGCTCCTGCAGGCAACGCAGACAGGCAAAGCGGGCACTCTGGTAGCAGTCCTGAGATCTTCCCTGTGCTCCCAGACACAAGCCACGTTAGCCATGATGATCTGACAAGGTAAGAAAGTCCCTCAGCAGTTTGGAGGACCAGTACTGGCTGGGAGGGGGGTGTTGGGCTGCTCGCACTTCATATGATCTTCTGTCAGTACTGCTTTTTATTTTTATGAAGTTCAGCCAAGTGAAACTTTAAGATGTAGAAAGAATCTTCCCTGATGTTCCTTTAGATCTTCAGGTGCCTTGGATACCTTCCTGAGATACTTCTCCAGTAAAGATCAGCAGGTATAGGGACCTCCAGGAATCACTTGGTTTATTTGAATTCTTTTCACAACTGCTCACACCTGTACAAAACATGCAGATTGCCGCTGTGCTGATACAGAAGTAGATGTGCGCATTTTTTTGATGGTAAAGGTGGGAACTATCAGAGTGTATTTTCCCACATTGTTAAAGCAGACCTGTACAGGTGTTACTTCATAGAATGGTTTGGGTTGGAATGGGCCTTAAAGATCATCAAGTTCCAACCCCCCTGCCATGGGCAGGGACACCCTCCACTAGACCAGGTTGCTCAAAGCCTCATCCAGCCTGGCCTTGAACACCTCCAGGGATGGGGCATCCACAGATTCTCTGGGCAACCTGTGCCAGTGTCTCACCACCCTCACAGTGAAAAATTTTTTCTTAATATCTGATCTAAATCTACCCTCTTTCAGTTTAAATGAAAATCCTCTCACTACACTGCCTGATCAAGAGTCCCTCCCCTTCTGTCCTGTAGCCCTCTTTAAGTACTGGAAGGCTGCTGTAAGGTCTCCCTGGAGCCTTCTCTTCTCCAGGCTGAACAACTTCAGCTCTCTCAGCCTGTCCTTGTATGGGAGCTGCTTCAGCCCCCTGATCATTTTTGTGGCCCTCCTCTGGACTCACTACAACAGGTCCATGTATTTCGCATCCTGAGGACTCCAGAGTGGGACACTACTGCAGGTGGGGTCTCGCGAGAGCAGAGTAGAGGGGGAGAATCACCTCCTGTGACCTGCTGGTCACGCTTCTTTTGATGCAGCCCAGGATATGGTTGGCTTTCTGGGCTGAGCTTCTCATCAACCAATACCCCCAAGTCCTCCTCAGGGCTGCACTCAAGCCATTCTACACCCAGCCTGTATTTGTGCTTGGGATTGCCCCGATCCACATGCAGGACCTTGCAGTTGGCCTTGCTGAACTTCATGAGGTTTGCATTGGCCCACCTCTCAAGCCTGTCAAGGTCCCTCTGGATGGCATCCCTTCCCTCCAGCATGTCCACCACACCACACAGCTTGGTGTCATTGGCAAACTTGCTGAAGGTGCACTCGATCTCACAGTCCATGTCACCAACAAAGATCTTAAATAATACTAATCCCAATATGGACCCTTGAGGGATACTGCTCGTCACTGATCTCCACTTGGACACTGAGCCATTGACTGTAACCCTTTGAGTGCTACCATCCAGCCAATTCCTTATCCAATGAGTGATTCACCTGTGTCAGGAGCCTGTCAAGTAATAGCTAAACAGCAATAAGAAGTGTAAATTTGATTTAGCAAATTACAGTCATACCTGTTGTTATCTCAAACCCTTCAAGCCCCATGTTGGGCATGAAAAAGTACTGTTGTGGTTTAATCCCAGCCGTCTGTAAACACCACACAGCTGCTTGCTCGCTTCCCCCAGTGGAATGGGGGAGAGAATCAAAAGGTATGAATAAGAAAATTCATGGCTTGAGAGAAAGACAGTTTAATAGGTAAAGCAAAAGCCACGCACACAAGCAAAGCAAAACAAGGAATTCATTCACTACTTCACATCAGCAGGCAGGTGTTCAGCCATCTCCAGGACAGCAGGGCTCCATCACATGTAACAGTTACTTGAGTAGACAAATGCCATCACTCCAAATGTTCCCCCTTCCCTTCTTCTTCCTCCAAATTTACATGCTGAGCATAACGTCATATGGTGTGGGATATCCCTTTGGTCAGTTGGGGTCAGCTGTCCCAGCTGTGTCCCCTTCCAGCTGCTTCTCCACCCCCAGCCCACTTGCTGATGGGGTGCTGTGAGAAGCAGAAAAGGCCTTGGCTCTGTGTAAGCACTGCTCAGCAATAGCTAAAACATCCCTGTTTTATCAACACGGTTTTCAGCACAAATCCAAAACATAGCCCCATACTAGCTACTAGGAGGAAAATTAACTCTATCACAGCTGAAACAAGCACAACCCATCAAATCCATGTCTCTCCAATTTAGAGACGAGGATGTTGTGCAGGACAGTGTCAAAGGGTTTGCCCAAGACCAGGTAGATGACATCAATTGCTCTTCCCTTATCCAGCAGTGCTGTGACACCATTATAGAAGGCCACCAGATTTGTCAGGCACTATTTGCCCTTAGTGAAGCCATGCTGGGCGTAACCAGTCGCCTTATTTTCCATGTTCCTTAAGCATAGTTTCCAAGAGGATTTGCTCCATGATCTTGCCTGGCCCAGGGCAAGACTGACCAGCCTGTAGCTCCCCTGGTCTTCCTTTTTTCCCCTTTTAAAAACTGGGGTTATATTTCCCCTTTTCCAGTCACTGAGAACTTCACCAGTCTGCCATGATTTCTCAGATATGATGGATAGTGACTTAGCAACTTCATCTGCCAGTTCCCTCAGAACCTCCGGATATAACTCATCAGGTACTTGATGGCTTAGATCTATAAGTAAGAAAGGGCCATAGCAGAAGAGAGCAGAACAGCAGTGTATGCTCTGTGCAGGTCCCTTTTCTCTGCTCATTCAAGTACCTTAAGGACTTCTTAGTTAAGAATACATACATTCAGGAAAATGTTTCAGACTGCAAAAGAGTTCGTCTTTTGCTGCTCAGAATGGCGGGACATACAATCTCACTGAAAGTTTTGGCTTTTTACATTTAGATAGCTCAAGCACTTGAATTTTCAGTGTGCAAGTTTGTCAAATTAAGCACTTAATGGGACACTTGTGTGCACAGAATTTCTTGTGTCGTGTGAGAAACTTGAGTAGAACGCACAGTAGGCCACTGGCAGAGATGTTCGGTGCAGCACAGATGAGTTAATTTTGTAACCAGCCCTGAGAACTAGGAATGTGGGAGCTTTCTTTCATTCATATTTGTCTCTCTTGCAAATAAAAGCAGTGCTAACGCCTCCAGAGTTTGTGTTGTGTTGTTTTGTTTTCCACCCCACATCTGTCCCAAGAAGATTGTCAACTTCTTGAAGGGTTAATGCAATAGTGTATTTTTGTGCTTTCAGCCCTAATTTCCTTTTCCTATTTGTTGATCTTTGCCATGCTATGGACAGGAAGGTGGGAGAAGTACTTCTGTATTACTGTTACTGTGAGGTGAAAGATCCAGAGAAACTCTGTGCTTGGCAAAAGGCTCTGTGCCAGCATCTGCATCTCACTGGAAAGGTAAGGTTTTAGGCAATGATTGTATTCTTAACAGAAAAGCATCTTCTTTGTTTAGCACGGGATGGTGGAGAAACAAGTGTTTTGCACCAGAAGGTGCTAGTCCATTCTTAATTCCATTAAGAAAGGCACTCAGACTCTGAAAGCATCATTTAAAATGCTAATTAAGAGCTAACACTACAAAGAAAAAGAAAATGCAGATAATTTTTCATCACTTTTGATGTTGGGAACTCTGAGTTGTGCAGCATTGAGTGAGCCTTTGATCTATGTGCAGCACACTGTGCAGACCCTGTCCTTGCAAGGTTACCCCATTACCATCATTCAAACTGTTACAGATTTTTTTTTTTTTTTTACAAGGAAACAAATCTTTTCATCGCTCCCACTGTCAAACAGAAAGGATATTCACATGAGAACTTCTTGATGAACTTTTAGATAAAGGCAAGGACATGCAGGTGGCATAATCACTGGTAACAACAGGGAGCTGCTGGCAGGCATCTGTTAAGATTATTGGGCTGGGTTTATCCTGCAGCTAAAGGATACATGTGGCACAACACAGCCTGAAGACCAAGGTGGAGGTGCAGCACTCTGCAGCATGCATCCGGGCTTGCTCCAGTTTACTCCTACGTGTATCGCTAACTCCTCAATGCGCAATGGTCTTCCAGTCAGAATTACTACAGCAAGGTGTAATGTATACCGTCAGGGAGGAGACGAGAGCAACTGACACCTTAGATCACACCATAGGATCACAGTGCTCCTTCCTGCACAGGGTCTTTTTTTTCATTTCGGGCAGACTAGACCAAGGAGGTGACTTGGCTCATCTAGCTGGCCTCCTGAGGCTGTGGGCAAAGGCGAATTTTAGCTTGACAAAGCTGATGTTCCTAGGCTTCCTGTGGGGAGAGGGATATTTCAAGAGGGCAGCTCAGAGCAGGAGACTATGTTTATCTTTGACTTGTCTTCCTCAGTAGCTTCTTTTTCTCTGCCAGTGGTAGCCAACTTCTCTGTTCTGCATCAGCACAGGCATGGGGTGAAATCTGATGCATTCGCTTCTTTTTTTTGCTCAGCTATCTTGTCAGATGGTTGGTATTTTTCTCATTTTTTTTTTAAGTCTCTGAGGCAGATAAAGCATTTGCCTTCTCAACAATATATTCAGTCTTTTTTTTTTTTTTTTTTGCCACTTCAGTGTTTTTATTCATTTGTCAGTGCTGGAGATAGAATGACTCACACTGAAATTTAATATTACATGCAATATTATGCATATTCACATTTCCTTTTATCTGTGTGAGTCATTGGGCACAATTCCATTGTTCTTCCTGAGGCAGACTTCCAGTGGGAGTTCTAATACTGACTGCAGGATTTGCCTGTTAACCAGTTACCATTTCTCTGTTTATTGCACTAACTTTCCAGACTGTCTTGATGTCATTCTTTTGAAATGGCTCAGAAGTGATTACTGGAGTTTTATTCCTGTTTTATTTACTTTCTTCTTTATGTTCAAATTCAGTATAGCCATCTTTTCCTTCCTTCCTCAGTAGTCTCTTTTCTGAATGTACTTCTGTATCTGCCTTTTGTTACCCAGTCATATGTTGCTAATTTCACTGTGACCTGGTTTTTCTGTTACTAAGCCTTAGCCTCAGCTTCTCTTCTTGCGTTCTAGGTACGAGTTGCTTCAGAAGGGATTAATGGGACAGTTGGTGGAAGCAAAGTAGCTACCAATCTCTACATTGAAGTTATGCTTTCCCAGCCTCTGTTCAAAGACATTTTGTGTCAAGATGATTTCAAGGTATGAAAAAATAATTTCTACATAGACACTGTTAATGCAGGACATTTAATTTATGAGAAATAAGCATGTTGCTTCTTGATAGTATTAATTCTGCTCTAGCAGTTCTGCTCTCCCAGCACTGATCTAAGCCCAGGGTTCCTAACCTTACTTTGCTTAGATACTGCTGCTGGTTTTTACCAGCAGTAGCAGTTACCATGAGCGGCAATAGAAGCTTTTGGCAGCTATGGGTGCATCTGCAAAGCCCCCCAGCCCAGTGAACAAGGGAGTGTGCTTCAGCTCTGCCATTCTTCAGCAAGTATTTACACCAACTTGACTGCTAAAACCAAGGCATCACAATGTTCACTTTCCCAAGCAAACTATTCCCAAACTTTCCTCTTCGCCCTGAATTGAGATCCTTCCCTGGAAGCCTACTGGTTTAGGTTCTCGCAGGCTTTGGTGTCCATGTAGCCATGTCCGAGGCTCAGCCCTGCAGAAATTCTCACATCCTGTCACTTGCAGTGGGGATGCATACCGAAAAGGGCTTGCTGAGACCTCCAAAGGGGAAGTCCTGTACTTGAGTTTGGGAGGGCAGGGAGTGTCAGACTCCACTGTTAACAAATCTTGAGCCTGGCTGACCTCCCATATGTCTCTTTCACACCCATGAACCACTGCAGTTTCCACTGTGCATGTCATGGCTGGAGGTCTAGCTGTACTCATGTCAGGTGTCAGAGTGGCTGAAGAGAACTGCAGGGCCCAGATGTGTCACCGTGATCCATTACTGGAGGAGATTATTTAGTATTCCTGTCAGGGTCAGCATGCTCAGTCAGTCGGGGCCTTGACTTGCTCATGATAAGTGCTAGCAACATTGTTTCTGACTAAGATCTGTTCTCCTTCCCACTCCTCGGTGACTACCCACCTCCTGCCTCACCTGCAGAGCAGTCACTGGGCCCGTGACACCTGTCTGCCAGGTCATTGTAAGGGTCCACTGCCTGAACCTCAGGATTTAGAGTGTGGATCTTGGCGGGAGAGACACTTTCATATTTTAGTAAAATGTAGAACTTAAAGTGAGTGGATAATCTTAATCTTGACACCTGGCAAATTTTGGCGGATTGTTTTTGTGTTTAATTTCCTAGAGCAGTGCAGGAGGAGCTCACTGTTTCCCAGACCTTCGAGTTGGAGTATTCAAAGAAATTGTACCTATGGGCATTGATCCAAAGATAGTGTCTTACAAAGAAACTGGTAAGTTGATTTAATGAAAAATAAAGGCTCTCATCCAAGTCAGAGGTAAGGGAAGCATAAAGTACCTTCATCAAAAACATTTCCTTCTGAACAGTGGCCAGGACACAGGAGAAGCAGATATGGAAATTGATCTCTTGGAGGTAGTCAAAAGTTACTGGCGCAGGGAATTTTCTGGCCCAGGTTTTGGTTTGCTAAGTGTTTAGGTGCCTCAAAAAAGTTTAGAATTAACTTTCTGTTTTGTGGGAAACAGTAATAGTTCAAATTACATCAAGTAGTTACCTTGTTTTGGGGTAGGGACACACCTTGTGCTTTAGTCAAGGAGTAAGATGAGACACCTGCTAAATGCAGATGTAAGGTGAAACTGTGTATGATGGTTAGGAAAGACATTTCAATGCATGAATATATTTATACTTGTTCTAAATATTCTGTAGGTGGTTGAGACTGCTCAGAAATGGTACCATAGCTCCAGTGCTCTCTTGTGGTTAGCTTGCAGTAACTATCAAGCTGTACAGGAAGAGCTTTCCATGGAGTCCTCTTGTAGATCCAGTGCATTCTGGTGCTGTGAATGCTGAGAGCTTTTTTTAGAAAGTGCTAGAATCCCACTGAAGCTTACAGTTGACTATATACATGTTCCTATATTAGGAATTGCTGACCTGACTTTACTTGTGTTGAAGTTAACAGCTGTGCTCCTGCCTTTTACACTAAAGCAGAGCCAGGTTCTGAATCAGGTTCATTCCACTCCTCTAACAGGCTGCATTTGTTTTCTGCTACCTGTAGCTGCTTAGTGTGGATTATGCCGGATAAGATGTTACTGGCTGTGCATCTGCTATGGGAACACTTACGTAGGTGGTAAGGAGGAGCGCAGCAAATAGCAGTTAGTAGAGCAGTTTTGGACTTTTTTTCTCACCAAGAGGTTTTGTTGGTGGTAAATTTCTACAGCATCTTTTTGTGGTTTTCCCGATGCTTATATTTTTTGGTAGTTTTGGTAGAGGATTTTTTTTTCCATTTTTAGGCAGTTTGTGAGATCTATGTTTGGATATTTCTTTCCTTGGCTTTTTTTTTGGTTTTTTGGGTTTTTTTTAAATTTTTCCTCCTATTTTACAGCATTTATGGAGATGGTTCCCAATACTTGGGTATGTGGCTTGTAGGGTTATTTTTTAATAAGGTGCAGGATTTTGGTGAGGGAGGTTTTTTGTTTTTCAGTAGATAGGGAGTCCTAAGTTCTAAACAACCTGAAAGTTGGGAACTTTATATAAACAGAAGTTGTACTGAAAGTAACACTTGCTTATGGAAATTTTACATTTTTATCAACAGTTCCATTGTAAAAATAGCATTTTTGTATACTTCTGCACCTCCAAATGTAATGAAAGCTGAGCAGGAGGGAGGGAAACATTTTTCACTGTCTCTTTTACAACTGTAAGAGTTCTCAGAGGGACATAGCAAAGATCATATAGACAGGCGCCTGTCTGTGGCTTGTTCTGTCATGTGGAACAGTGCTGTGTTTTTTTTTCATTTGCCAATAGGAAGCCAAACATGGATAAACTTGTCTGGTTGAGTTGCAATGAAAAGTCTGTGAACCATCACAGAAAAGTTTTGGTTGGAAATCTGATGAGAATCTGCATCAATGAGATTGTACGTAACATTATTTTGTAGTTCTGCTTCTCACTTCTTTCTTTTTTTTTTTTTTTTGTTAAAGGAATCCATCTATCCCCTCAGGAATTTCATAGAGAAGTAGAACAGTATTTGTCTCAGGGCAGTCAAGGACAAGGTGATACCATCTTGCTGGACTGTAGGAACTTCTATGAAAGTAAAATAGTAAGTGTGGTTTGCCCGCTTCTTGCAATGTGTTACAGGTGCTGGGGGGAAGCATTTCACATTATAAGGGTGTAACCTTACTGGAAGAAGAGATTCCATATTCCAGATTGTAATATGTACAGAGTTCCGTTTAGTAATGAATATTAGACACAAGCAGCAGAGGACCTGCTCAGCGACTCAGCATGGAGCCAGCCCAGCTAAGTGCTTATACAGTTTGAAGCAGGAAGAAGACATAAGTGCTTGTACAGCTTGAAGCAGGAAGAAGACAAAGTATTACATACCACATCAGCATTGAATACCATATAGTCTGAAGTTAAAGTAGCATAAGTTGTAAGGATGTTTTCCAGCATTTTTGCCTTGTCCCATATGTCAGAAAGAATAGGGGCATCCTGCTGTCACATGTGCCAGGCCTCCTGCACTGTTGTGGCTCATCCTCTCTCTGACAGTTCTGTTCTGCTTAGCTCCATCATTTATGTCTGGATGAGGAGACATGCTGTGTCTGGAATCCTCTTACAGATTTTAGCAGGTATTTTGATGCATAAATGCAGCTGAGAAACTGCCTAAAGCACCTGCAGGGAGCTAAGTGTTCTGGCCCAAAGGTTTGTTCCTTCCTCTAGTTCAAAGCACAGACCTTACCTTGTCAGATTGCTTGTAAGCAGTTGCATGGCCATCTGTTGTTATTGCAGGGACATTTCCAGGGCTGTCTGGCTCCAGATATAAGGAAGTTCAGCTATTTTCCCAGCTACATAGATGAAAACCTGGAGCTTTTTAAAGACAAGCGTGTCCTGATGTACTGCACAGGAGGCATTCGTTGTGAAAGAGGTTCTGCTTACCTACGGAGCAAGGTGAGGTGTCATTCTGAGGGCACAAGCATGAAGGCTGCTTTAAGGGCAGGTCTCTTTGCTGGTTAATTCTTATTGAGCACAAACTGCTCACTGAGCAGATGGGGAGATGAATGTCTCTGATGCACTCTTGCCTCATGCCGTCTGTCAAGGACATGGGTAGTTTAATGCAGCTAAGGATGATCTGCATGGACTAGTCACAGCAGTGACTGCCCTATGAAAATACTTATAACCCCTTTGCTGAGAAAGAGGTATTTTTAAGTCTGCCATGCCATTGTAGCAGTGTTACAGGAGGGCTTGAGAGCATTCTGCAGTGTTTCCACAAGCTCTGTCTAGGTTATGCTCTGTGGTCATTACAGCTTGAGCATCTCACAGTGGTGAAAATCAGCCAGTCAGTGCTTTCCCAGTGTTGTGGAATTCAGTCCAATACACTGCATTGTTGAAATTGTGCTTTCCATCCCACTCTTCTCCTGGATACTACCCCCAAGGAGCACGGGAACAGCACACACATAAGTTCTCAACAGGTTTAAACCTTGATATTTTTTTTTTTTTCTGCTGTACCAATATGAACCTGGAGAAATTCTGTTCCTGCTAACAGCTCACTTTGTAAAGCAGCAGTTCACATAGGTTCAAAAGCATTTGATCTGTGATGCAGCAAACCTCCCTCAGCTGAGGAGGTTATCAGCCTTTTTTTGACTGTAACATTAAATGCACATTTGGGTTCATGTCAGCAAACCAGCATTGTAGAGCTGCCCAGTAATCCCTGGTGGTGCTGCCTAGAGTTGTCGGTGCACGTGGTGCCGTCTGATGGTCACTGAGAAGCTGCTGCTTTTTGTTGATCCCTTGTATTTACATTTGCTTTGGGAACTCTAGCACACCCACTGCTGCTGTCTCCTTCAGCTTTTCTGCTAATATGCTTTAAACAGGCAGTGTGCAGAGAGGTTTACCAGCTAAAAGGTGGAATTCACAAGTACCTGGAAGAGTTTCCAGATGGATTCTACAGGGGGAAGCTGTTTGTGTTTGATGATCGTTACGCCATTTGTTCCAATGAAGATATCGTCTCAGGTAGGACTAGATAATGTAAGTGCAGAAGACTGGGAAGCTATTGCAATCATTTCCACAGAGATGTACAGGACAGGGGCAGCCAAACTGCTCTGTGTAGTTCTTCCTCATACTGGCTTTGATCTTTTAGTGCTGTCACTTTTCATGATGATCATCAGCTCTGTGGTTTTAACACATAAAACAAATGAGAGAAAAGGGGGTCACTAAAAGGGAGTTCTCTAAAACTGGAGCAGTAAAAAGAAGCATCCTTTGCAGAACAGCTGCTGTTATGAGCCATCTGCAGCTACAGAGACATATGTCAAGCACTACTGTTGTTGTTGCCCACTTGTTGCCCATAGTGTTAATCAGACTGTGGTTGGCCAAGAGACCAAAGCATTATATCATTCTGCTTTCAGCAGTTCTCTGCTCCAGTAATCACACAGAACATCAGCACAGACTGCCAGGCACTTGGAGAGTGGTGGCACTACGCTCTACAGCATGTTGTTATTTCAATGCTTCAAAAGTTTCTGTAGCCTGTAGATTTTCAGTGACCCCTAGCTGAAGTTGTTAAGAACATTGCCTGGTCTTCTGGCCAGGGTCACTCTTCAGATGTTGAAAATGAAATATCTGTTTTCTTCTTCCCAGTTGACAGCTACAAATAGAAGGACTTTGGATCTAGCTTTTTTTAGGAAGCAGTGCTGTTTTTTCTCTGAGTGGGTAACTTTTTGAGTATAACCTG